AGAGAGAGAGAGAGAGAGAGAGAGAGAGAGAGAGAGAGAGAGAAAATCAGGCGCGGCGCCACTTTGTCAAAACGCCTCGATCGATAAGGCACCACGCTCCCTACGCACACAGGGAGACTATCACTTTGTGAACGCAGAGGGAACGGGAGCGGCCGCCGCTGCTTTTGGCCTGTTTCGATTTCGACCACGACAGGCTTCGAATTCAAACCACCACTCTACCCGACGTTGGAAATTCGGAGGACCGGTAGCACAGGTCTATGAGGGCTACCAGTAGCACAGAGTGGAGAACCAGCAGAGTGGTGAATATGGAAAATGGGATGAATTTGCGCTATAAGCTATTTCGCATTTGAGACACTGTTTTTAATTTTTTAAAACATTTTTCCTGAAAAGATCATGACCAAATCTACGGACCCTCAAATTTTCAGACTTGTTTACAAGTTCTTCTGAGCGCGAAAAGTCTTTGAAATAGGGGTACTTTTCCCGTTGGCCCACAAGTTGTCGTGTGCCAAAAATGGAAAAAGTGACGAATTGGCGCGGCATTTATTTCATGGTCTAAACGATTTTATTTTATTTTGTTGATATTTTTCCTGGAAAGATCACGACCTGGCCTACCCGATATCAAATTTTCAGATCTTTTCTCCAATTATTCTGCGTACGAAAAATCGCCAAAGTTTGCGCTAAAAAATTGCAAGATTGGACCCGCCTGCGCCTTCCAGTCGGCGCCCCCCCTAAAAACCCGCCCTAACTCACCACAGTGCCTGCGTCGACTCCGTTTCGGATTCGAAATTTCAAGGCCCTAATGCCACGGGCAGCTACCGGTCCTGCACTTCCTTGAACTGCCTATTTCCCACGAATTGGACCCCCAGCAAATACACCACCCTGCACCTTTTGGTGACGAAGACGAAAATTTTTCCCAGGGCATAACATAAAAAACGCAATGTTCCCAGGGCATAAAACGCACCCCTGACGGGCTGCGAACAGTTCGGGAAATATACCTTTCAACCACATGGGGTTCGTTGCACGTTGCTCTTTGCTGGCCAGTGGCGATATGGCGGACTACTTAGCGCGCTTTTCTATTTCCGTCAACGAAAAAGTGAAAAACAAAAGTGGTGTGACGAGGTCAAAGGCCAGTCGAAGATCTAAAGTCGACGTGGCACGCCTCTTTTACAACAGGAGAACTCCAGCAAGCGAAGACATGTCAGGCAATCACTACGTAGAGAGATGAAACAGGTAGCCCCATGCAAGTGATCACTACGATCAGAGCGCGCGGGCAGGAAGCATGGAGTTGCCGCCTCTGGACCGGAAAGGGGATGCCGACCCTGTTACGCGCATCGATTCGGTGCGCTCGTCATCGTGCAACTTGGTGACTTCCAGTTTTCGACCTAACCCGCGCGCTCATACACCAAGCGAAGTAGCTACTAGTAAGTAAGTAGGCCTCACTGTCTCTGTCTCTGTGTGTGTATCTCAAAGAGAGAGAGAGAGAGAGAGAGAGAGAGAGAGA